GTTTTCATTTAATTCATCTTTTTTTTTCTTATTTCCAAGATCAGACTTCCGCGCAGTTTGTTTAATGTTTTGCCGCTCTGAGCAGCCACTTCATTTCCTTTGGGCATTGCATTGTAAGACAGTAGAGCACATAAATAACACACTCAAAAATCAAGCATTTGCTAGAATGCGCGCCAACTCTCGGGTATAACTCCAGTTTCTTTAATCTCGGTTGTTATTTTTGCCGGCTTCACAGTCATTTCTGTTTACTGTAAAATTATACTTGTCAAGATAACCGTCCAGATGAGATGGAGAAAGAGGAAGAAGTGGTCCAGCTGATTAGACAAACACATCAGACCTGTCAAATGTATTTAGCGGAAGCGTCTCTTGTAAACATCGCCAGCAGCTTCGACCAAACGTTAATCCATTCGACTGACTCAGTGAAGGTTTGTGAGTGACATTATTGATTGTTTGCTTGCAAATAAAATCTAATGACATCTATTTGTCAGAGAAAACTACTCATTCAGCATAAAATGTGTTCCTGTAAATGATATTTTTGGTATTTTTGTGCACTGGTCAAAAAATCAAAGGAACACTTTGGAAACACATCAGATCTCAATGGGACAATCGTGCTGGATACTGATGACTGGAAATGAAATCAACATTACAGAGGGCTGAATTCAAAGAAACACAGAAAATCAAAGTGAAAATAAGGATGTGGCAAGCTAGAGAGTACAAAAACGATATGTTAGAAGCAGTCAGGATGTCGGGCCCTCAGGCCACCCTCATGAAGTCTGTTCCTGATTGTTTGATCAGAGACATTCACACCAGTGTCCTGCTGCAGGTCATTTTGTAGCTCAGGCAGTGCTCATTCTGTTCCTGCCTGCACAAAGGAGCAGATACCGGTCCTGCTGATTGGTTAAGTACCTTCTTCAGCCCTCACTGCCTGTCTCCTGTAATCTCCTCCATGTTTTTGCGACTGTGCGGGAGACACAGCAAACCTGTTGGCTATGGCACGTATTCATGTGCTATCCTGGAGAAGTTGGACTACCTGTGCAACCTCTGTAGGGTCCAGGTATCACCTCATGCTACCAGTAGTGACACTGACTGTAGCCAAATGCAAAACTAGTGAAAAACAGTCCAAAAATATCAGGAGGGAAAACTGTCAGTGTCCTCTACCTGTACAAACATTCCTGTTTTGGGGCTTGTCTCATTGTTGCCACTCTAGTGCACTTGTTGTTAATGTCATTAACACGAAAGCAGCTGAAACTTGTTAACAACCCCCCTCTGATACTTAATCCCACAAGTTTAAATGACTTGATGCTGATAAAAGCTGTTCCATTTGTTTCATTTTCTGAGCAGTTTATGTTATTATTGTGGTTGTAATGTGTGGCTTCACTTCAAACCCCTTTAAAATTTAAAAATGCATCGAGACGAACCAGTTGTCTTTAAGTTTTTTGCTAAAAATGATACAATAATACATATTTGTGATAAGTAAAAGCATCTTTGTGTGAACCCCTTGTGTAGAAATTGTAGTCGCCACTAAATGTTTCTGGTAGCTATCGATCAGTACTTAGAGGAGATTTTGCCTGTTTCTTCGTACACAACAGCTTCAGCGTTTGATGTTGGCGGGTTTCCTGCTTCCTTCAGCTCATTCCAAAACATTTCTATAGGATTAAGGTCA